CTCTCTTTCTTTGAAGCTACTATTGTAGCACTCTCACGTTTTACCGGTGATTTAGCTCGATACCACCGATACAAATAGAGAAAAAAAATCTTTTGTGAACTCCCCTTATTTATTGCTCATAGTGGCCTTTAAATAGGCAACAAAATAACCGAATTACGAAAGAAATGCTAATAGTGGAGCTTAACTCCTAAAGGCTAGGATAGTGGAGCTTAACTCCTAAAGACTAGGAAAATACAATTGAAAGACAAAGTCAATCTAGCTAAATGATAGCTGGAAATAAATTGTTAACGAGATGTCCTTTCTAACAAATACGTGTGGTAAACTCTAACTAATAACGGTTTGTCAAATGTCATGATGGTTTAAATTAGGTTTTGACAAAAATAAATAATTTTTATGTAGCAAGTTGATATTGGTTAAATCTTGTCATGTATACTTATGTGGTACATTAGGATTTGAAACAACAATAATATAAAAATAGAACTACGAAATGGAACATAAAAAAATTTAAGATTTTAATAAAAAAATTCAAATTATAGAATGTCCGAATGTCAACTAAAAAATTATCGCATAAATTATTATTGTGTGCATGCCACATCACATGCTATATATATCTTAAACAAGATTAATTAATAAAGAGAGCTTTTAATTTTTATTATTGAATAAATCCTTTGTATTATTTAATTAATTAATGGATAGAGCTTCTAACTTTTTTATTGAATAAACTCTTTATATACTATGTTTCAACATGCCCCTTCATCTCCTTCTCGTGAAACAATTTAGTAATGTATCTTCTTCTTTTCTACCGACCGAGTGCGAGATTGCTTCCATAACTCTTCAAACGCCATTTGTGTACATGGTGGGAGTTTTCTTTAAACAATTAGTATCGCACTAGTCGATTATCCGTGCTATGTTGCGGGTACGGTAAAACAAACTCATTTTAGAATTTTAAAAAAAATTAATTATAATTTCTTATTTAATTATTTTTTTCTAATGTTTTTTTTTTTTATAAATTCTTTTGCTTTAGAAAACATAAGTCATTCTTCTTTATGGATGGAAAAAAAATCTTCTCATCAAAATTAAAAAAACTTTAAAAATATTTTTTTCATAATATTGCATTCCAAAAAATAAATTTATAATTAATAGATAGACTTTTATAAAAACAAACAAATGGAAAAAAAATCTTATTTATTGCTGATGAGAAGATTAATTTTAAAATTATCAACGCAACATTACGATAGATAGAACAAAATTATTTCAAAATTTTATAATTTTTTCATTAATTTTTTATTTAATTATTGCTATTTTTGTGTTTTTCATAAAATTTTTGCTTAAAAAAACATAATTTATTTTTTTTATTTAGGGATTCCTAAATAAAAACTTGTAATATATAATTTAAACTTGAAATATTAATTAAGAATATAAAAACAAATGCTTTAAAAATATATTGTTTTAGAAGAATATATCCAAAAAAATAAAGTTACAATTAATATATAGACTTGCATAAAAATTAATCAATGAAAAAATAAAATATTTTTTATTTAATGTTGATGAGAAGATTATTTTTTTTAAATACATATATTTGATTTATATATATTATATAATCGCCGGTTTGTATGGAAAAAAATAACGATTGATTTTTAAAAATTTTAACACTCAATTAAATAAAAAAAAGAACATAAATTGATAGAAAAAATCAAAGAAAAAAAGGGTATGTAGTGCATCAGTTAGGGATTAAAATTTTTATTTTAAAATTTCAAAGATTAAAATGAAATAATTAGAAAATTAAAAAAAAAACTAAGGAAAAAAAGTAAGAGTTAAAATTACAAAAAAAAAAAAATCAAAACGAAATAATTTGAAAATTACAAAAAAAAACCCTAAGAAAATAAGAAAAAAAACTAAGAGTGAAAATTTAAAAAGAAAAAAAAACACCTAAAAGTGACTAGTATATTGTGAGGGTAAAAAAAAAAAAAAAAGGGAAAAAAGGAGTGAGTAGTACAAAAAAGGTTTAGGATAGTAAAATTTATTTAGTTTTAGTATAGTAAAGATAAAAATTAAACATAATAAAAATGTAATGACTAAAATAAAAACATATCACAAAATAGAAAAAAACATAAATTTTTATTAAAAGTCAAGAAAAAAATATTTATTATAAAGATAAAATCAAATAATATATATATTAGAAGGATAAAAAAAATAAGGCTAGGCAAGCTAGCTGGGTGATGGGCTCAACCCCCTCCAAAAAAAAAAAAAAGAAAAGGAAAGGCGAAAAACACTATTCATTGAACAATAGAAGGCATAATAAAAGTGCCTTCGTTTTAGACTATTAGTAATAAGCTATTGTATATACTTGATTTTTTTTCTAAAATTAATTAAGTAATTTAACTAATTTTTATTATGTGTTAATCTATGTTTTTTTTTTTTTTTTTTTGACATGGGTGTAAATTACACAATAAATAGTTTGAACTACAAAGAAGTCTCACTAAACACAAAGTCTTGGATAGTAACTTCTCTTTTATAACTACCCTATTAGAAAGAAAAGGGAAATATTAAAGAAAGGCAAGCGATATTGACGATCGTGATCATTAATTAAGGATCTAATTTTTCTGATAAGAAAAGCAAAAGTGACTATTCCTTGAGGGATTATAGGGATAGTGAAAGTAAAGTACATTTCACTTAGGAATTATTATCATAAATTTTATAATGATTGGTGCTAATATCCACCGGAAATCTCCATTTAGTTCTCAAAAAGCACTCGTTATCAATAGTGTTATTGGGTGTTTTGATAATATATATATATATATATTTATTTATTTATTGAGTGTTTTGGTAAGAAAAATATAATTTTGGGTTTGAGAGATTTAAAACCAAATTGGTGAATTTTTAGACGAGATGATTTTTCTAGTAATTATCCCAAATATTATCTCGTATTTGGGAGGTTTAAAAATAAATTAAAGGATTTTTTGGATAAAAGATTTTTTAGATGGTTTTCTAGTAATTATTCTCAACGTAAATGAAACCATTATCTTTCAAAATATGTATTTTTATTATGAATGACCATGTTCTATTTAATTAATGCACAAAAATATGATAGACATTTATCTTGTAGTTTAATTTTATTACTTGATAAGAAATATTGAATTTTGATTAATTAAAAACTAGTACTACTAATAGTGTTTTTTTTTCTATTAATATATTAGAATTTAGGACATCACCGATGTTCATGATCATATATATTATTGCTTTTCTTATTTGTATAATAACCCTTGATTTTGTTACAATTATTGGATAGTAAAAGTGATTTCGTAGTTCATAAAACACATGACCGATATAAATAAATAAAAACTCCTATATAGGAAATTTTTTAGTATAATAAAAATGTAGCGACCAAAGGTCGGTGTGTTAGCAGTCGAAAAACCTCAAAAAACTTTTTTTTCCTTTCGATTGCAATGAAAAAGAACGCGAACTTGATCATGATTAAAAAAAGTAGTATCAAACTCGTTAAAAACTATTAAATGAGTTTTCTATTAGATAATTACTAAAAAAAGCCTTCTAACCAATCTTCTATCTAAAAAACCAATCAATTTATTTTTTAAATATCTCAAACCTAAAAAAAAAAAAAAAAATACCTTATCAAAACACCTAATAGTTAACTAGTGTTAAGTTGAAGGTTAACTATTAGGTGTTTTGGTAAGAAAAATATTATTATGGTTTTGAGAGATTTAAAAATAAATTGATGAATTTTTTAGATAGAAGATTTTTTTAGAGGGTTTTCCTAGTAATTACCCTAATTTTTTTCTTAAAAGTAAAAATTAATTTAAAATAAGTAAAAAGTATGAAAAAATTATAGAAAAACAATAAAAATTGACTACTTTAATCATGAAAGAAGCATAACTTGATTAGCAGAAAATTTATTTATTTATTTTACAACAAAACAAGCTTGAAATGGATAAGATTCAAATTGAGTTATGTGTTATCAATTAGAAATACAAATATAATAATGATAAAATCTTATTAATTATTTTTTTCATATCTTATAGGATTTTTTTACAAAGTTTGTAAGATACATGAAAAAGATAAAAAAAATTTGCGATGTGATAGTTTATAAAAATAACGATCAATAGAAAGCAAAAAAAAAAAAAAAAAAACAAACAAACAGTAGTTAGAGTAAATAATCTATAAATCTAAACCTAAAGCCATATTTATATTTTTTTTCTTATTTATAATATTTGAATATTTTATATTTTCAAAATTTTATATACATTAGAAATAGTATTAATATTACTATTAATTTGGGATTGAATTAAAAAATTAATTTGATTCTTATAATAAAAGAATTAACAAATTCAAACGATAGATTTTCCCTGTTAATTTGCAACCAAAAAAGAAAAAATGGAATCAAGGAATTCGAATAAGCAGCAACAGCTGGACCAATTGTGTTTGTGTGTAAACATCATTAGCGTAATTGTCGTTCAAATCACAACATCAACCAATTAAGTTTTGGCAAAAGTCAAAAGGTTAATTTTTATATACTAAATTATAATTTAGTCCCTTTATCTTTGAGAAGCAAATTAATTAGTCTTTTTATTTTAAAAATTAATTATTTAATCTATTAATCAGTGTCAATCCTACTTAATTATTTAAAAAATATTATATTTTCTGATCAATCCTTCAGTATTGATTACTTTTTTTCTTTTTTTTTCTTAAAAAAACAAAGTAAATTGAAAATAAGAAATAAATAATTATTTTTAAAAAAAGAATAATTGATTCTTGTCTACAAAGTGAAGGGACTAATTTATAATTTACTCTTTTATTATTATTATTATAGATACTTAATAAAAAAAGAAAAAAACAATTTTCTAGTTTGGTCAACGGTCCACCATCGCCGCGATCACACTCTTTCAATATTCTTCTTCCTCTTTTTTGTGTGTATACAAACCGTAGACTACGACCTGATTGCCAACCGGAACCACTCTTGTTTAGAAGAGAAGAAGGAGATAGAGATGGAGCATTTGGTGCCGCAGACGATTGATTTGTTAAAGAAGGAGGTTCCGGTGGAAGAAGGAAGTCTGCATCTGAACGGAGATGAAGTTAAGACTACTGGTCTTGTCTTGGTCGACCTTGTTAATGGCTTTTGTACTGTTGGCGCTGGCAATTTGGTAATAAAACGAACAACAACTCTTTTTTCTTTTTTTAATATTTACGTACACACATAGACAGAGGGAGAGAAAGACAAAGAGATTTCTCGATTTGTTTTGTTTTATTTTGTTTTGTTCATGTTGTGTTGTTTATTGTCTTGATGATTAAAAAAAAAAAAACCCTGTTTTGGCAGGCCCCAAAAATGGCAGACAAGCAAATATCAGAAATGGTAGAGGAATCGGTGAAGCTTGCTAGATTATTTTGTGAAAGGAAATGGCCTGTTTTGGCCTTTCTCGATACCCATCATCCTGACATACCTGAGCCCCCTTACCCTCCTCATTGCATTCTTGGAACCGATGAAGCAAATCTTGTTCCAGGTATGGTAGCTATTTTGTTTTATACTATTTATTTATTTATTGTATTAAAGAATTAATGGTATGCTATGTTTATTCTAATCTCTGTTTTGTTTTTTAATAGACCTTCAATGGTTAGAGAATGAACCCAATGCAACTCTTAGACGCAAGGATTGTATTGATGGATTCCTTGGCTCCATTGACAAACAGGATGGTTCCAATGTCTTTGTTAATTGGGTTAGAAATAACAACATCAAACTCGTAAGCAGCAAAACTACTCCTTTTCTTTTCCTGAAATACTTTATCTTTGTCCAATGGTGCATGTATGTGATTCTCTGTTTTTATGTGATTTTTTTTTCTTTGAAAGATACTGGTTGTAGGGATATGCACAGATATATGTGTTCTGGATTTTGTTTCTTCGGCCTTATCTGCCAGAAATCGTGGTTTTCTTTCTCCTCTAGAGGATGTGGTTGTATATTCTCGTGCTTGTGCAACCTATGATCTTCCACTTCACATTGCCAAAACTCTCAAAGATGCCATACCACACCCACAGGTAATTTGAATCATTTAATCATAGGTTTGCTTGCATGGATTTTTCTCATTCCTTGTTTTGATTAACCTTTGTGGTGTACTTCAATTAGATTAGCAGGCTAGGCATTTACTATGATGACTGGGTTGTTGTATACCAAACTGCAAGTTTTGTTTTCTCTAAGTTTAATTGAATCATAGCAAATACACTTAGATAATTAATATATTTATATATGCATGATAGGCTAGCTACCTGCAGATGGAACGAACTAATTAGGGGTTGAAAATTGATTGAATCTAGATACATTGCAACCAAATATGTCAATTAACCTTTTGAGCATCAAATGGTTTCAGTTTGGAAAGCATTGTCCATGACTACTTCCCTGAACTGCCAGCTTAATGCATGTCATAGTAGTGGACAACTTGAGGATTTGAAGGCAATAGGTGCAATTGCTTGGTGGTGCATAAAACTTCTTTCTGAATGTGAACCACCATCCTTTGTACAAACTCTGCCTGGTTCAGTTTTCTTGGCACAGAGTTAATTATAAGCTCAATGTAACTAGTTAAAAGGTTAACCTACAACTACAGAGAGATGCTTCGTTGCCAAGTTTTGCACATTATCAGGATTTAGACGGAGTTGAGATTGGACATATAAATTAATAGTCAAGACACCAAGTATAGACATTAGGAGGTGGTGTGTGTTAATCATCTTAGATTGCTTCTTCAATGCATGATGATATTTTAGGGACAGTGCCTGTAGAAATGAGAAGTGCTATGCACAAATTGGACGATTGATTTAGTAGGGTTCTGTGATCAATGGATCAAATCAAAGAACATATTTGTTTTCTTTTAGTAGTTTCTTGATCGTTTCTTGTGTTCTCTTACAATGACATTCACCTGAATTTGTATCCGTACAGAAAACAGATACTACAAGCTTTTCCCTATGCATTGGTGAAATATGCAATCTTGCCCCATTTTTTATGTTAGTTTTTTCTGTGGCAGGAGCTGATGCATCACGTAGGCCTCTATATGGCCCAGGGAAGGGGAGCTAAGGTAGTATCAGAGGTTTCTTTTGGTGCACTGGGACAGTCATGATCCATACCCCATCCATGAGTGCTGCCATTAAGGCTTTCTCATTTATAAAGTTGTCCATTGATGTTTTACATATTTCTCAAATAGGGATAGCTGAAGAACAGTACGTTTCTGGAAAAGCTTTTTGTATGTGGATTGCCACTCAGTAATTATGGCAAATATATGAAAATTAGTTGCGTGTAAAGCAATGGTTACATGCCCTTGTTTTTCTTGATTATGTTTCTGCAAAGTAAATTTCTGTGCAATTCTAAATGACGATGTCTCAGCTGGCATGTTCTTGGCCAGTGATTTTCGTAGTTGGTTCTATTTCAATTGTTTATCAATGAAAGAAGCGTCCTCTTCCCATGATTCGTCACATGAATGACACTCGATGCATAGAATGGTTTAGGCTTGGTATCCTCAGAACGTGGCTTGTTTATAGACATTATCGACAGAAATGAGAATAATAGGAAAACAAAATTCATGACTTACACATATATATATATATATATATATATTATATAACTCACACATTTCCTAGCAAAACTAGGATTTGAACCTGTGATCTAGGCCACTACCAGTGAGCTAGTTGTTTGATTTTATATGGTTAAGATGGAAATCAAATCATACTTCTTGGAAACAGCTTAAACGTTCTATTTGTTTTGATTGATTAATGGTAAGCACCTAGAGTACAGATAAATCATAAAGATAAAACAGAAAAAAAAAAAAAGAAGCTTTAGCTTCTGAAAGAATACAATAAAAAAAAAAGGGATAAGCAGGAACTCATCCAAAAATATAAAGGCAGCCAACCAATTCAAATAGAACTAATTTACACATTGGGTCCTGATCTAAAATGTCTCCTATGCAGGGCAGGGTGCATGCAAGAGAAGATTGAATTCCTTTGCTTTTTAGGTTTGACGCCAAAGATGAATGACCGCAGAGGAACTCGAGACCTGCTTTCTGAGTGTGGCAGCTGGATATTTTGACGGTTCTTTGATCCAGAAAGCTTGAATTCCTCGTTCAATTTTGCCAGTGTTCTTTCAACTTCAAGCTGGATTGTCGTTATGTGATCTAAACCTGCCTGCAATTCATCTGCAACCTTGTTATTCTCTTGCTTCATGTTCAAAATCTCACCTTGGAACTTTGCAGCTTGATAGCTTGTAAACTTGAACTCGTCATCTTCAGCGCTTTCCTTCAAAGCAGCCGTTATTTCATCTTGGATGTCACACAAGGATGCAAATCTGCTCTTCACTTCATCTTTCAGTTGCATGCTTTTCTCTAACCAGACAGTCAGTTCAGTATGTATCTCTCTGAGGTACTTGTATAGTGGCTTTGCATCTGATTTCAGAGAATATTTTGCATTACTACTCCCATCTTGCACCTTTTGCTTTTCCTCTAATTTGGATAACTCAGACTGTAAATCTTGGACTTCAGTTTCAAATTTCTGTATTTGTTGGAATGTAGTACTGAACCTTAACCAGAAGTTCAAGTTCTCTTCTAGAACTTCATCAATGTTCATCCGGAATCGTTTTTCGATTTCTGCCGTAGGTTCTGGTTGGTCCACTAGAATCACCTTGATGTCTTCTGTTACTTCTTTCTCTGTCATTGGGCATTCTGTCACCATCGATTTTATAGTTTCGCTCTCTTCACCCAAACCTGCTTGAAGGAGGATCAGCTTCTGACGTAAAAATTGAATCTGTTCATCCTTCTTTGCATTGGCACTCTTCAGTTCTCTTAACCGCACTGTTGCATCAAAGAGGCTATCTCCATTCTTATTTTCTTTTTCAGCAAGCTTCTTCTTGACTTCCTTATAATTCCGAAGAACTGAAGTATATTCTGTCAGTAGAACTTTTTCTCTATTCTCCATACCATTCATGAATAACTGCTTCCAGTCTGGCTCATCATCAAGCGTTGTTTCCTGTTCCTGTGTTTCAACATTGGGATCATCCATCAACGAAGGTGAATCTTTCCTAGAAACTTTTTCTTCAATTTCCACACCATGAACTTCCTCCAGAGGATTGTTGAGTTCAATAGTTTTCTGGGGTTGACTTGAATCTTTCCCATGTTCTTTTATCTCTCCCTCTTCTCTTTCATTCTCTGTGAAGTTCATAGAACCATCAGCATCATTCACCTTTTCTTCTTGTTGCTTTAAATCTGCTAACAAACTGAATTCTGCTGGAGTTTCCTTTCCATCCTTTGAAGAACATAAGACCTCGAGCTCGTGGTGGGGCTTCTGGTTTGAATCGTTCCCATGTTCATTTAGCTCTTCCTCTTCTCTTTTATTCTCTGTGAAATTCATAGAACCATCAGCATCATTCATTTTGTCTTCTTGTTGCTTTACATCTGCTAACAAACTGAATTCTGCAGGAGTTTCCTTCCCATCCTGTGAGGGATATGAAACCTTGAGCTCATGGTGTGGCTTCTGATTTTGTTGTTCCCCAAAACCATCATCAGGATTCAGTGCACCTTCTGATCCCTTGATTTCTAGGTGAGATTGACCTGAAACCTTGAGATGCTCTTTTGTCTTCACATTCTGTGGTTTCTCAAGGCTACCATCAGGACTGAGTGCACCTTCTTGAGATTCAACTTCCACCAGTGATCTGTCCTCTGTTTCTGGTTTGACTTCGACCTCCTCATCTGATTTTACACAAAGCAATTTCTCAGAGATGTGATCGATATTAGAACGTGCTTCAGTAAAATGTGCATGAAGGTTGTTATTCTGGTCCTCAACACTCTGGTCTAGATCCTGGAGTCCACGCAACTTCTCCTCCATATCCATCAGCTGTTTCCTCAAATCATTTTTGCCATTTATCAATGTTGCCTTATCTTCTTCTAAAGTTTGAATTTCTGCTTGTAGCTCATTTGTCTCCGATCTTAACCTCTGTATAAGAGCTGTCTGTGATGAAACTGAAGCTTCTAAGTTAATGATCTTGTTTACAAGTTCATCGATCTTCTCAGCAAGTTCTGCCACAGTGACACATGCATTAGATCCTACCTTGAAGTTTTCCTTAATCTTCTCACGCAACAACTCTATATCCTGTCTCCCCTCTGTAGCACTGCTCACTTCTTGTTGTAGGCTTCCCAATCCTTCTACTGCTTTTACAGGTTCATCTTTGGCTTGGGGATTTTCTGGATTGATCGCACCATGCAGAAACTCATCCTTGAGAGACTTCAACTTTTCCCGGGCATTGTTAATTCTCTTGCGCTCTTCTACTGCTTCTTCCGCAGATCTCTCTTGTTTCTCCTGCAATTGAGCCAATGTATCTTGGCATGATTTCAGGGCCGCCGACGCCATCAATGTCCGAGCTTCATTGTCTTCAATGACTATGCCGGCACCAAATTCATCTTGCAAAATACAAACCTTTTCCTGCATTTCCTTGATTTGCATTTCAATTTCCCAATACTTGGCAAGTCCGCCCTCATAGGAACTCTTCACAAACTCTTTCTCAGTTTGTAGAGCCAGGATTTGTTTCTGAATCTTGTCAATTTCCTGGAGACCCTCGGATTTGCTCAAGCCAGACTTAGCAACTGTAACATGACTTGCTCCTTTCATTGACTTCTTTGGTTGCAACTTCTTTGAAGCTAATGAGACGATACCCTTTATATCTTTTGGAATCTTTGGGACCTTTGGAATATTTGCTTTCGGGACGTCTGGAAGCTTCTTCGAAAGCTTAGATGGGGCTTCATCTTCATCTTCTTCCATTGCAAACTGGACTTGTTCTGGGAAAACATACGCAATGGTATTGTTAGCATTTTGTAGCTCTGTCGATATGTGATCATACCGTTCAGCTAATGCCCTATAAGCTCGGTAAGATTCTTCGACGAAGTGTATCAGCTCTGGTCTCTTTTTGTAGTACATTTCTGCCCTCTTGGCAAAAGAGTCTCCATCTTCTTCAATGAGTTTGAGTACATTTTGAACCTTATCTTCCATATCTGCAACAGGAAATATGACACACATTAGGTTCATGCATGTTAGAATCAGTTGACTCCACAAATTTATAAAGCAATGAGATGGGAATGAACTTGAGTAATCACATTAACATTAGTTCAAAGAAGAAGGTTGACTTAATTTGATCCATCTTCCAAAATTACTTGAAATTGCAGGAATTAAGAGTTGGACAAAAAAATTCTTTAAAGCAGGTTCTATATAATCAGAAAAATGTCTAAACTTGACTCGATTTGTGAATTAAATTCAATAAAATCAGTATATCTTTATCATGCATAATATTGTAAGCCAAAAATGCGAAATGTAAAAAACCAATCCATTGTTTTGGGAAATATATTAGCCAAAAAAAAAAACAAAAACAAAACCAAAATTTTCAATGAGAATGAGCTTTTATTTCAAATAATAAATTCTAATTAATCAATTCATATTCCTTTGTTAATCTGTTAAATACCAAAAAATTTGTGTTTGTGCATGATTAGTTGCTGCAAAACAAGATTTACAGAAATGTTCATTGATAATTCAACAGATCAGAAAATAATTAAGCAATGGAGAGTAATTAAACAGTAATAATAATTACCATGAAGGTTTTGTTCGAGCCATTTGGATTGCTTTGTCCGGATGTGGCTTGCCCACCACCACGAGTAAGCATTGCTTGCAGCTCTCTGCAACATATTACTGATATCGTTTCTTTCTTCTCTTAGTTTCTCAAAATCAAAAAATATATATATATATCATGCAGAAAACAAAGGACAGAAGAACAACCTAACCCTCTCTTTCTTCGACAAATGTAAGGATTCAACAAGACATGGAACCCAATAAGTTGATGTACCCTTTTATTAAGGAAAGAAAGAAAGAAAAAGAGGGTTGGTGGTTAAGGTTTCAAATCGATAGAAACACAAACACCAAAAGAAATAGAAAGAAAGAAAGAAAGAAAGAAACGTGCAGCAGAGTGCTTAGTAACAAAGGATATTGTACGTGAGCTGTTGTTCTTCAGAAAAAGAAAAAGAAAAAAGGAAGAAAAAAGGAAAACTCCTACTGCAAATATACTAATAATGAGATGATGGAGGAGAGCAATTTCCGGCTGGATTAGCTGTTGAATTGAATTAAAATGAAAAGACCGAACGCCCAGCTGCCAATTTGCGTGCATGGATGGCACGTTAATTATCTGCTTTTCCAGGGTGTATGGGACAGGACACCTCTTCCTTTTTTTTCTTTTTCTTTCAACTCCTTTTACCTTTTTTTTTTTTTTTTCCTTCTAATAATTATATTATTATTAACTATGTTACTGAGAAAAGTTACTACATTTACGTAAAGTAAGCATTTAGTCTGTCACCGGCCAAAGATCATAAAGGTATCATATCTTTGAAAATGCTATTTTTATTCTTGTTTCCCTTTTTTTATGGCAAGAGCATGCACCTAATTTTCACACAAAGGATCCATGGATGAAACAAGAATGCTCAAAACCAAATTAGAAAAATAACAGGCTGTAAAAAAAAAAGTACATTTGGTTGGATAAGAAAAATATAAAATTAACTTTAAAAGGATAAATCTTTTTCTCCTGATTACTCATTTTTTATATATAAAAAATTAGTTGGAAAAAACCTACAATTGTTAGTTTTTACATGTACCTTTTTCTTGTTTTATCACACCTCGAAGCAATATAAATATTGTCTGAAAATCACTTAACAAAATTCTTTTACTCCCATCCAAGAGGGTAGTGTTGATTTGAATAAAAGAAATTTTAGTGGCTTACATAAGTAATCTCATATTTAAATTATTATATACGTAAAAAATTTCATAAATAGCTATATCTCGTCTTGTATATCCGATCGACTAAAGAGGGATCAATCTACATTTTTTAACCTGGAATATCTTGAGAATAAAAAAATTCATTTACACCAATTGGTCATATATGTCCTCATTCTTCTTTCTTTTTATACACTAAATTGCATTTCCATCCAAAAAATTTGTTAGAAAAGTACATAAATAAATAAATAAATAAATAAATTAGCTTTCACATGTTCTTGACATATCAATAATATTGGTTTATTTTTATTTTAACACACGTGTAAAGAAAAGTTTAGTATATCGATAGCTTTATTATTGACCAAAAAAAAAATCCTCGTCTCAAATTATTACAATTAAGCTCTGTTCGCTTAATTAATCATCGATTTCAACCATATCAATAACAACACAAATCTTAAGCCAAGGAATAGATCCGCGCGACTTGCAAATATAGGTGAGTATCAAATCAAAAACAAAGGCTTAGGGACTTAATTACAAAAGTAAAAGAACTGAGACTGAAACAAAGTAAAACATAGAACTAGAGGACTGGATTGGAACAACATAAAGCAAATTGAATGGTTGTGGTCAGCGATGTGCGCGCACGTGTTATAAAGTGTTCGGCATCCACTCGCGGCATATTGGAAGCCTTAAAGGAAGTTCGATCGGCTTTGGTCTACTAGCGCTGTATATGTGTATATATATATCGCTAACCTGCTACTCCTTAGGGAGGTTACCATTGTGCCCAATTTTTTTGGACACTATACCTCGTACACTACATCTTTTGATGTCTTTAAGTGAGGATGATATTGTCATTTTAATGGCAACATCGTTTATAATTAATGATTACATAACCTGCTTTACTTTTTTAAAAAGATATGTAATAATTATTAAAAAACGTTGTCATCGCAATGATAATGTTTGAAGATGTTAAAAGACATACCAGCAGCTTTATTTTATCGGTTGTATCTATTTTTTTTAGTAAAACAAGATTTAAATTCAAATTGTTAAGTTATGGAAATTTATATAAATATAATTTATAATTTAGGATGCTACGTAAAATTAGCACGATAGTCTCGTTAATTGTTTACGATATCAGCTCATAAAGATTTTTTTAAAAATAATTTTAATTGTCCATATTATAAATAAAACAATATATTTTATATTTGATGCCATCAATTAAAAAAACTCCAATAAATTTTTTTGTTAAGTAAAACAAGATTTAAATTCAAATTGTTAAGTCATGGAAATTTATATAAATATAATTTGTAATTTAGGATGCTACGTAAAATTAGTACGATACTCTCTCTAGTTGTTTACGATATAGGCTCATAAAGATTTTTTTAAAAACAATTTTAATTTTTCATACTATAAATAAAACAATATATTTTATATTTGATGCCATCAATTAAAAAAAAACTCTAATAAAAAATTTTAATGAAGCTATGGAGTAGGTATGATTTGTCGAACCATATAAATTTTATGTTGTATAATTTTCTCTTTTTTTATTTTTTTATTTAATTCGTTTTCTAACTCAAATAACTCTTAAATTTTTTAAATGATTATAGAATGAAAGAGGACCACCTCATTTTATAGTCAATTAAAAAAAAAAAAAAAGGTTAAAAGATGTATTGTTCATGGACAATTGGGTTAAAAAAAAAAAAAAAAAAATCGAACGTAGAGGTCAATAGCGTTGGGCTTGTTTGTTTGCTTTTAAACAAAAGGAAGAGAAGGCCTAGGTTGACATACTCAAGCTGAGGGAGCTTGGGCCTGGTACGAGCCTCAAACCACCTAGACTGTCAATACAAGCCTTCTTTTTTATTTTTTATTTAAAGATAAAAATTGGATGATGGTAGTATGCTTGACCCAGTGCTCAAACTTGGCTTCCAAGTCTTCTCGTTCACTTTAAAGGTTTAGCAAGAACTCGATGCTCAAACTTGGGTTTCAAGTCGATAAGTAGCTTCAAAGTAGTTTGTCAACCTAATCCTTAGTTATTCGCCACTTGTAGAAGAAGTTAATTACACTAATGAGAACAAATTAAAGAAGAGGAGAGTTGTTGAAGAGCTTCATAACGAAGTTTAATATTGAAATGTTAGAGAGACCAGATCTCATGATATCTACAGTGGTTTTTATCATGGATAACAACAATGAGTTTATGAAAGCAGTAAAAAAATATGTAGGCGATGAAAATGAAGGCAAAGCATTACATTTATCAAGAGGATGTCATAGGAACGAGCAAAAAGCTCGACCAAAAGAGTTTGGTCAAAGAAATAAAGAGTGAGGAATCAAATAATCATTTCAAATAAAAAATTTAAGCTAATAGATACGACTCTACGATTCAATTTATATTATTTTGTAACATATATACTTCCTCAAAAAACTTGTACATGCTCATACTATTTTGTGTTTAATTAATTAGAAGCGAAATGAAGGTGGTGAAATTCGAACTCACGACCGTTTGATCATCAAAACTTTAATATTATTAGTACATAATTAATAAAAAAATTATTTGTAAAAGAGATACTAGTATCTCAAAATGAGAAAATGTAGCAACCTATGCAGAACTTGCACCACCTAAATATCACTCAAAATGTTCCAGAAGATGCACAAAGTCCACCTATAGCTAAAAAAGATGAACAAGGCCATAATGCATTAAAAGACGACACTGGATGAATGACAGATTATGAAATAACTGGAGTTGACCAAGCTAAGGACCCACTTATACTTTTGCTCTATTTTCTAATTGTAATTCTACAACTTCCAAAGAGGCCGTAAAAGAATCAAAATTGTGGAAGGCAATAGATGATGAAATAGCGACCATTAACAAAAATAACACTTAGGAGTTGATTGATCTTCCAAGAGGGGACAAGACAATTGGTGTCAAATGGATATACAAGACAAAGTTGAATGGAAATGGCGAGGTTGACAAGGACAAAGCAAGCTTAGTAGCTAAAGGCTATAAGCAAGTGTTTGTCCCGAATTATAGATAAGTTTTTGCTCTTGTTGCATGATATGATATGATCGGATTGGTGATTGTATTAGTGGTTGAAAATTCATTAGTCTATATGTGAAATCAACATTCTTGCATAGTGACTTACAAGAATAGATATTTATCAATCAACCTTCCGGTTATATGAAGCTTGAAAGTAAACATAAGGCTCGTGAACTAAAAAAGGCATTGTATGGGCTAAAACAAGCTCCATAGGCTTAATATAGTCGTATTAATGCTTATTTCTCGA